CTGAAAAAATTATTAGTATGGATTTGAATGATCTCTCTGTAGAAACTTGATCTTTTTTTTATAACGTCTAATGTTTAATTTATTTTTTAGTTGATAGGACTGCATTTTCATTCCTAATTTTGTATTTTCCTGTTACTTTTTCTGCCTTTTCTCGTCGTTACATTTGTTCTCCCTTCCAATTGTAATTCAATTCTAAGTTCAATTTCTTCCTCTAGTTTCCTTTTCTAAGGTGGATCTTTACATTGATCTTTAATTTTTAGTTGCTTCTATGCTGATGCATATATTGTTTCGTTAGGACATATATGTTTGTCTAAATCATCCAGAATTAATCTGACTGCTGCATGGTAGAGTATAATACTTCTGAGGTTCTGCTTCGTTGTTTATAATTTTGAGAGTTGTTCTCGTTTCTCTATTTCAATATTTTATGTCTTACTTTTATGTCTCATGATTTCTTCCTTGGCTTCTTGTATACTGTTCTTATTTTCCGTAAATTCATTCGGTTCACTGTGTTTTGAATTCGTTTCATTGCAGGTTTCTGAGCGACTAAAATCACACCTTTCCAACTCTTCTATACCTTCAGCATTAGCTTCACAGCGATTGGTGAATATCTCAGTTTCTTCTTTATGATCACTGGTTTGGATGATTTTAGCAATTTTATGTCCATTTCTGGTTCCGTCATGTCCTATTGATTCACCTACTCTGGTTGCAGTTCTTTTTATATCTTTAAGTCCAGCATCTGTCATTTATTTCTCATGCTGTACCTGCTTACATTAGCTTAGTTTATTTTCGTCAATGTCTTTTCTAATTGCTTGTCCAACGTTTTCACGCCAAATGACATATGTTTGGGCAACGCTTCATAAAATGCAGTCATAACGAGATTGTACTCTTCACGAGACCATTTTATCTTTCCTTTCGTTGTGGATTTAGTTGTAGAATTCTCAGTCATCACTGGGATTATTCCACTTCTAGGCACTTGAATTAATTATCTGTGTAGGATTTAGTTCCTATGTCAGATTTTTCGATATCAGGTAGGTTCCATTCTGAGGGATGGGCGCTCGGTTTATCCACTGGAAGAACCATACTGGACATTTTGTTTTGTCTTTTAGATCTCGTATTCTTCCGACGAGTGAAGCACGGGTCCAAATGTCTACCCGAAATTGCCCGGCACATTAGGCATCGGTCTTTTACAGACAGGATTCAGAAGCTGTAGGGGATCGTTAGCGATCTTGTAATGCAGCAGCCATAGAATCCTCGACAGGATTGACACCATGAGTTGTGCGCTGTTGTTCGGAGATTCCTTCTTGTTTTTTTTGTTTTTTTAAATGACCATACTAAGATTTAACTTAGTATAAATTGCAATGGCCAACCAGATGAAAGGCCTGGTAGTCATACAATGAAGATTATCATGAAAGAGAAAAAAAGAAAAAGTAACCAATCAATACGATTCTTACAGATGAGCATACACAAAAAATACATATATTTACAGGAATTTCAGCTAGAAGTGTGGAAAATTTTTGAAAAGATAAGACTAAAAATAATTAATTAAAAGAAAAAGAAAAAAAAGAAGTTGAAATGAATGCAAAAATTTTTAAAAGAAATTTAATAAAAGAAAATTAAAAAAAAAATAATATAATGAAACGCGAACAAAGATTGGTATCGGCCAGAGGGTAAAATGTTCGACTTGTCGACGCCATTGAGTGTGATAATAATCAAACTTTATAGGGTAGTTCAACCCATCTCCGGCGCTACGAGTTACTCGAAGTGGCACTGAGGGATCCATTAAACAAAACAAAAAATAGGAAAAATACAATAGATTTTACATTTGGGGTCATTTCTCACCGTCGTCAGAATACGGGACCGTAAAAAGTAAAAAAAGTAAAAAAAAGTACTTCAAAAAGGGGAGTATGGCCGGATAAGCATAATAAAAAACGTAAAAATAGGTAATATACGTTCACACACACCCACACACACACACACACACACACACACACACACACACACGTTCTGTTCTGTTCTTTTGAAAGCAAATACTATATAAAAAAAAAAGAAAAAAAAGTGAGTTAGAATATTATAACTTAGTCTATATTCCCGGCAGGTTAATCTGTGTCATGCGAACAACATTATGAAAAACATTGAAATATAGTCAAATATAAAGTAAGTAAAATATTTAATATAGTTTTGATTTCCGTTACATTTTAAGGTTCCATCTATTTCTTTCATCAATTCTATGAGTTCTTCCTCAGAGAAGTTAATTTGTAGAACACATCCCCGTGATGGTAGTTCCTTGAAAACTACAATTTTAATATTTCTTCAAGCCAAGCGTCAATTATATAATCCTACATATCCTCACGATCTATGATTCTTACTTCCACGAAGCATCGACAAACAGTAAACTTTTAACATGATTATTTCTTGTTGCTTGTATTGGCCAAATAAAATAGCATACCAAATGTCTCCACGTATGATCTTGTCCAGCGGATTGTAACATACAAACAAGATTAAAAACTATCAAAAAACAAAGACCTGAAATTGAAATAGAAAAATGTGGAAATTGAAAACAAGAATAATACTTCTTGGAATTATAAAAATGGAACAAAACAACACATAAAGAATACTACCAAAAAAAAAATGTCTTTATAATAACAACAACAACAACAACAATAAAAAAAAAAAAAAAAAAAAAATTAATAATAATAATAATATTAATAATAATAATAATAATAATAATAATAAAAAATAATGATGATTAATTTATTAACCATAAACCATTTTTCGTCATTAGATCATTGAGTGTTTGTACAATTACTTGAACATCTTGTAACCATATGCTTTGCCCGATGAGCCAGCGTAATTCAAAATAAACTCGACCATGTTGCCTTTCGTATTCTCAATATGCCATCTTTTGACATATTACCTGAATGGTATTATCTTGTTTCTCTCTTCAAACCCCTCACAAAAAATCCGCATTGAGTTATTTGTAGTGTTGTGTACGTTTCTGGCTTTGACTTTCGTACGTAAGGCTTAGTCCTACGCATCCATGATTAGACATCCATTCCTCCAGGCGACTGTATTTCAACTCTCCTCTTCCTGGGAGTCTTCATATACCTTCAATTATTCTGTTGCTATTTCATATTATCCAGGCATCTTCATGTTCAATAGTCGGTCACGTTTCTCGCGTACCTTTCTCGTATGATATATTTACAATAATAATAATAATAATAATAGTAAGTTTGTACTCTTTAATCACTATGTCAAAGCTAATCAGCCAGACATAGTGATTAAAGAAAACGGAAATAGAAGGTGCTTTCTTATTGATATGACATTTCCTGCAGACTGTAATTCATCTTTCAAGATCTTCAAAATCTATCAAAATACAAGGAAACTTGAATTGGAAATCTAAAAAAATGTGACGCATGCAAACAGCAATAATTACACTTGGTAAACTCACTAAAGTGATCACTGGTAATCCTGCGTTAATGAGATACACAAAAATTGTTCTCACAAGTACAGCTCACAACTTACGTAGGGCTTTATCAATAGAAAACATCGTTCAGAGAAAATGTCATGATGTCATTTCTGATCATAGGCGTCTGGTTGGGAAAGAAATGAATATACAACAGAATTCAAAGGAAGTAGTTGTAATAACTGCAAGGAACCGGTATGAACATCAACCACACCCAGTTACAAAGATAGAATCGGTGACGATTTTATGCGACTTTAAAATACATACAGCCAGAACAATCAATGCTTAGCGGCTGGACGTTGTGATCAAAACCACATAAACATGAATGTGTTTTCTTACTGACATGGCAGTTTCCTGAACATTGTAATATATCTTTGATGATCTTCAAAAATTATCAACTATTTGTTTCCAAAATTGTACAGCTGGTATTTTTACTATAAATTTTATTTCTATACGTTCAACTTTAGAACAAACTAAAGCAATAAAAAAAAAGATACCTAACATGCATAATATTCAAAGAATTATAAAAATTAAAATATGAGCTGCATATATGTTGTTTTTTTTTTTTTGCCGTACGTAGTTTATCTCCATATCCATGATGGTTCACGTATTGATAGAGCTTTCACAGCATACGTGCATTGTCAAAATTAAAACACTTCATTTCTTTATCAAGGCGTGATTTTATAACTTCGAAGAATCGAAGAATATACATTTACTTATGCGGGTAGAAAATAAGAAGATAACCACTGAATACCGTGTGATAGTAGCAATGGCTTTAGTTTCATTGAAGTCTACGACGAACGCCACTTTTTGTAGAAAACATCCGACTGTAAAAACGCTGTTTTTATTTTCGTACACACGTTATATTTAAATATTTTTTTTCTTTGAACTTTCTCTTTTCTTCCTATTTTGTTTGTCAGTAAAATTTCTAACATTTTTATTTCATTTCTCTTTTTTTCATTTCACAATTTTCTTTATTATCCTTCCTGCTTTTTCTCCTGGAAAATAATAACTAATTAGTTCCTGCAATTTCTTTATATTTTTATTACATATTATGTTTTTTGTTTTTTTTTTAACAGCGGGCTTACTGATCATTTCCTGCAGCTGGTCGACGCCAGCCGCTACATCCCTACTCCGGATTTTCCGTTAAAACCACCATAAAGTTACCCGCTGTACACCGCCATCCTCTTTTTAAGTTTTGGATCTCATTCACACCTTATCGTTTCGCATCATATACAGCCTCGTTTTCGTCGTAATCTTATCTTTGGCCTTATCTTACCATCAAACTATCTGCAACTTTTTATATGTTCTTGATTAGTTTTCATGATTCTTTGAATTTTATCTATTTTTGTTATGCATCTTTTTTTGCTTTCGTTTTTCTAAAAGTTGTCTTAATTTTTTAATACTTTGCGACATTGCCGCTCATCATTTTTTTTTTTACTTTCTTTTATCTGACTTTATCTTCCTCGATATTTTCTCCATTTTGTTTTTTATTCGCATTCTCTAATTTCTATCCAGATATCTTTCCCCTTTCAAGTTCTTTTTGTCTATAAATTTCTATTTTGTATTATTTTAAAATTCTTTCCTTTCTTTCACATTAAATTTTGCCCTGCAATTTTTGTAAACATACTTTCTTTTCTCTTGTTTCTTTCTTTTTTTATTTTCTATTTTCTTTACTCATTCAATATTTCTTTACATTCTCTGTTTTTTTTCCATGTTCACTTTATGCTTTATTTTACTAATTTTATTGTTTCTATTTCTCCTTCTATTTTTCGCACACTTTCAGTATTTTCTTTCGTTTCTTCTTTTATTTCTGTTCCTATTCTGTTTTATTTTAATGTTTTTTCTTCTATTATTTCTCTTTCTATGTACATTTTTCTTTCGATATCAGCTTGCTTTTTATATTCTATTTTTGTACTCTAATACGCTTATTATCTTTTACATTATTTCTTTTTCTCTTTCTATTTACTTTTCTCTTACCTATTTCTATATTGCTTTTCATTTTAGATTTCCATTTCTTTTAATTGTCTTTCCTCTTTATATTTTCTTTTTCTACATATTCTATTTTTTAATCACTTCAGTTTTACTTTTTCTTTTGTTTTTACATTTCTGAATTTATATATATATATATATATATATATATATATATATATATATATGTATGTCTCTCTCTCTCTATATATATATATATATATATATATATATATATATATATATATATATATATATATGTCTGTGTGTGTGTGTGTGTGTAAAATATATAGAAAATAGGAAAAGTAGCGATGGATTCATATTTTTAAATAACTAATTATATATATATATATATATATATATATATATATATATATATATATATATATAAGATTTGGAATCATATTTTTAAATAAATAATTATATTTATGCTCTACTTTTGTATCGAGCACTATTTTTTTAAAATAATAACTAAAATGCTAAGGAACTTTGGACTATTTACCTAACCAGTTCCTTCCTATTTTCTATATATTTTCACATATATATATATATATATATATATATATATATATATATATATATGTGTGTGTGTGTGTGTGTGTGTTTAATCATTCCACCACACGAAACGCAACTAAAACGTAAGGATCACTGTCAGTGAAAGAGAATATAAACACTTTAGAAATTAACTAGAAACCCAAACCTAAAGAGGACACAAGGGATAAACCCCAACTCCTGTTTACAAATCTGGGGAGAAGTGTGAACTGGACGATAGGTTAACTTCTCTAATCCTTTGTTTATTTCATCATTTTCGTTTTTTGTTTCCTTTTATATTTTTTTCTTATTTCATTTAATTTTTTTTCGTTATATTTCTGTTTTTATTCTCCTTTCTTCTTTTTTAATTTTATTCTCTTCCCTTTCTCCTTTTTCTTTCTAGTTTCATTTTATTCTTTGTATATATTTGTGTTTTTTTTCTTTATCTTTTTCGTTTATTATTCTCTTTCTATTTTCTAATTCTTTACATATTTTCTGGTCAACTCTAAGTTGTATAATGGTGACCAATCTTTTCTAGCTAAACCAATTACGATAGAGTAATGAATTAGATCTTTACTTGGTTGCTCCATTCTTCCGATCTTGTGTACTACATCTAAATTATGCTTAGATATCGCCTTCTTTACATACTTTCAGTTTCGCTTTTCACATTTTATTCTTTTCGTTTATTGATTCTGTTTTTTTTTTTCTTTTCTGTTTGTATATCGTTTTTTTTTCTTTTCGCAATTTTTTCTTTTCATTTCCTGTTATCTTTTACGCATTTTCTATTTCTTTATTCAGAATTTATTTTTCTTTTCTTTTTTTTTCTTTTCTTGGTATTTCGTTTTCTTTTTCTCATTGTCCATTTAATTTTTTCTATCGATTTTATTTTTTTACTTTGCATATATTATCTCACGCGGTTTTTTCTGTTTTATACTTGCTTTTTCTCGCTTTTTTTTTCAAATCTTTCTGTTCATCGTTTACAAATTTCCATGTAAATTTATTAAATTGTTTATCTATATGCCTCTTCCTCTTTTTCTCTTCGTTATCTTTTTCACATCTCCCTCTTTCTATTTCCCTATTTCATTATTTCTATCAATTACTTTTTCTTTTTCCTTCTTTCTATATTCTTCTTTCTTTTCTTCCCTTTCCTACATATCTATCTCCCTCTTTCTTTTATACCTCTTTTTCATCCCTCGCTGTATCAAATATGGCGACTAAGATGGGGAGAGTAGTTCGAATAATATAAATAGTGTACATAATACTTCATCTCAGAAATATAGACAAATACTGAAGGGCCGAAACGTAGTGATAAATATGGTAACAGAGGGTAATAGTCCGAATAATGTAAATAATTTACATAATACCTCATCTCAGAAATATAGACAGATACTGACAGGCCGAAACGTTGTAATAAATGTGGCGACAAAGATGTGGGTAATAGTCCGAATAATGTAAATAATTTACATAATACCTCATCTCAGAAATATAGACAGATACCGAAAGGCCGAAACGTTGTAATAAATATGAAGACAAAGATGAAAACAATAATCCGAATAATTTTAAATAGTTGACATAATACCACATCTCGGAAATATAGACAGATACTGAAGGATCTCATACATTTATTTTAAGCATTCTCACAGGCGACTTTTACTATTATAAATTGTCTTGTTCCAAAGATAAGTTTAATGAATTAGCTATAATTTAACAGATCTCTCGAGAAGAGAGATTTCAGGCTTAAAAGTTATGAATAAACCACAGAGGAAAATACTTTAAAAATTTTTTTTAGCTCAGTAAACCAAAATTAATCAAGGTATAAAAGATGTGGTGACTAGTTAAAAATACATTTCAGTTATATTAATATGAAATAACAATTATAATTCATAGATTATTTTTTGTTGAATGCAGACCTTATTTTAAACATACAGTTTTACGGTGATTTTCTCAGCGTAACTCAGATGTGACCACAAGGCGGAAAGTATGAACCACCACATGAGGACTTAATTCACTATTCAGCCGTAATTGTTCTAGCGAGACAAGCTTTCTAAACCTTAAATGACGTCAATGCTCCCAGATACGGGCTTTTGAATAAGATTGGTAAACACGAATACACACAATTTACTCCAGGGATCTTATCTCGATTACCTAATTTTCGTCTCGTTTTCTATCTCCAAACGTAAAATAGTTATTAAGATATGAAAGATACGCTGAATTTACAACGGTCTGCTGTTAAAAATTCCAAGTAAATTTTTTAACATATTTTAAAGACATATTAAAAAACATTCGCTAAATAAGAAAACTATCTTTATACAAACGTGCACTTGTGGACATAATTAGAAGCCCCTACCCTACATTTGAATATTTTCTAAGCAAATACGAATACTTACAAGTACTTACTGAATTTCCCATAAATAGTTGTTTCCGCATTTAGTTTTGAATAAGTCGTGAAATTTTTCGGAGTTTCGATCTATTATATTGATAGTGATCGATTTTTCTAGAATTTGGTACTGTTCAAAATTATTCGCCCTTTCTAGAAATTATGAAATAAATTGCACTATGGCATTTTTAATATTTTTTTTTGTTTGTTTCTTAATTTAACACTTAATACAAACACACTTTGTCAATGAAATATTATTGAACTGATTCTATAATATTCTAAAAGGTAACGAAGAAGACAATAGTTGAGTGTCATGTACGGCGATAACTCAGTCGTTTAGCAAACATGGCTGAAATTGATAAGACGTTTGAAATTAGTTAATGCATACAAAGATGATATGCATATACAACATTTTCCAAGCGTTTAAATTCGCCTAGATCGCATTATCATGAATTAAAAAGACTGATTATGTTGAGATTAAATTAAGGACTGACAGAAAAGGTTTAATTACTGGCAGAATATACGGAAAAGTTATTTAATATGTCTCGTATAATCCTCACTTAACGGCAAAGGACATCGTTAATGATGTAAAGACTTCAGGGTTGAATGTATCGACAAAGACAGCCACCAGATGCTTTTATCAAGCAGGACCGAGCTTGTCACCCAAGGAAGACTCCCTTGATCAGTGAAAATGCAGATTAGTTTATGCTGAAAGACATCTAGAGTATGGTAGTAAATATTGGAACTCTCTTTTATGAAATATGAAAATAAACTAGAACTATCTGGTCACATGAACTCGTTTTATGCATTGAAATTGAATGAAGCTTATAAAACCAAAATATACCCCCTACAATTAAGCACGGTGGTGGGAGCATTTTGCATTGGGGATGATTTGCTGCTTCTTGACCAGGAGAACCAGTGCGAGTACAGGATATCATGAATAAAGAACTGTATTTTGGTATTCGTACAAATGCTAGAAACAAAGTACACGGAAGTTTAGGGCGTCCCTGGGCGTTACAACTTGACGATGACCCGTAATACACGGCTCGAATTGTAAGAAAGTATTTAGATGTCAACGCAATTACGGTATTGGTGTACTCTGGACAAAGTCTTGATGTAAACCCTATGGTTAATTTATGGGTATATTTGAAGGAAAAATAAGAGAAAGAAGTCTTTCAAATTTGGAGGAACTAGAAGCTATTCCCAGAGAAGGACGAAAGCAAAACACTTACCAGTGTTTGTAGTGATCTTGTAAGGAACTATCAGAAATGATTAATGGTTGTAATCAAAAATAAAGCTTAGGCAATTGATTAATGAGGCAAGAGGGCCAATAAGTTTGTCCTGTTAAATGTTTTTTGGTGTTTTTTAAATTATTGTTTTAGGTTAAAGTAAAAAAAAAGAATCTGTGGACATTATTGTACATAGTTTCAAATCCATTATTTGATTATCTCTGAAAGAAATGCACATGAAATGTCTATGAAGATTTAAGGTTTACAGATTTATTTGTTATTATGGAAATGGTGGGTGAATGTTTGTTCAGAATTTCTATGAAGATTTAAGGTTTACAGATTTATTTGTTATTATGGAAATGGTGGGTAAATGTTTGTTCAGAATTTCTATGAAGATTTAAGGTTTACAGATTTAATTGTTATTATGGAAATGGTGGGTAAATGTTTGTTCAGAATTTCTATGAAGATTTAAGGTTTGCAGATTTATTTGTTATTATGGAAATGGTGGGTAAATGTTTGTTCAGAATTTCTATGAAGATTTAAGGTTTGCAGATTTATTTTTATTATGGAAATGGTGGGTAAATGTTTGTTCAGAATTTCTATGAAGATTTAAGGTTTTTTTAAGATTTAAGGTTGTTCAGAATTTCTATGAAGATTTAAGGTTTGCAGATTTATTTGTTATTATGGAAATGGTGGGTAAATGTTTGTTCAGAATTTCTATGAAGATTTAAGGTTTTAGGTTTAAGATTTATTGTTCAGAATTTCTATGAAGATTTAAGGTTTACAGATTTATTTGTTATTATGGAAATGGTGGGTAAATGTTTGTTCAGAATTTCTATGAAGATTTAAGGTTTGCAGATTTATTTGTTATTATGGAAATGGTGGGTAAATGTTTGTTCAGAATTTCTATGAAGATTTAAGGTTTGCAGATTTATTTGTTATTATGGAAATGGTGGGTAAATGTTTGTTCAGAATTTCTATGAAGATTTAAGGTTTGCAGATTTATTTGTTATTATGGAAATGGTGGGTAAATGTTTGTTCAGAATTTCTATGAAGATTTAAGGTTTTAGGTGTAAGATTTAAGGTTGTTCAGAATTTCTATGAAGATTTAAGGTTTACAGATTTATTTGTTATTATGGAAATGGTGGGTAAATGTTTGTTCAGAATTTCTATGAAGATTTAAGGTTTGCAGATTTATTTGTTATTATGGAAATGGTGGGTAAATGTTTGTTCAGAATTTCTATGAAGATTTAAGGTTTGCAGATTTATTTGTTATTATGGAAATGGTGGCCAAATGTTTGTTTTTCTATGAAGATTTAAGGTTTTAGGTTTAAGATTTAAGGTTGTTCAGAATTTCTATGAAAGATTTAAGGTTTGCAAATTTATTTGTTATTATGGAAATGGTGGGTAAATGTTTGTTCAGAATTGCTATGAAGATTTAAGGTTTTAGGTTTAAGATTTAAGGTTGTTCAGAATTTCTATGAAGATTTAAGGTTTCATTTATTTGTTATTATGGAAATGGTGGGTAAATGTTTGTTCAGAATTTCTATGAAGATTTAAGGTTTGCAGATTTATTTGTTATTATGGAAATGGTGGGTGAATGTTTGTTCAGAATTTCTATGAAGATTTTTTGTTATTATGGAAATGGTGGGTAAATGTTTGTTCAGAATTTCTATGAAGATTTAAGGTTTGCAGATTTATTTGTTATTATGGAAATGGTGGGTAAATGTTTGTTCAGAAATTCTATGAAGATTTAAGGTTTGCAGATTTATTTGTTATTATGGAAATGGTGGGTAAATGTTTGTTCAGAATTTCTATGAAGATTTAAGGTTTGCAGATTTATTTGTTATTATGGAAATGGTGGGTAAATGTTTGTTCAGAATTTCTATGAAGATTTAAGGTTTACAGATTTATTTGTTATTATGGAAATGGTGGGTAAATGTTTGTTCAGAATTTCTATGAAGATTTAAGGTTTGCAGATTTATTTGTTATTATGGAAATGGTGGGTAAATGTTTGTTCAGAATTTCTATGAAGATTTAAGGTTTGCAGATTTATTTGTTATTATGGAAATGGTGGGTAAATGTTTGTTCAGAATTTCTATGAAGATTTAAGGTTTTAGGTTTAAGATTTAAGGTTGTTCAGAATTTCTATGAAGATTTAAGGTTTGCAGATTTATTTGTTATTATGGAAATGGTGGGTAAATGTTTGTTCAGAATTTCTATTTTAAGGTTTTAGGTTTAAGATTTAAGGTTTTCAGAATTTCTATGAAGATTTAAGGTTTACAGATTTATTTGTTATTATGGAAATGGTGGGTAAATGTTTGTTCAGAATTTCTATGAAGATTTAAGGTTTGCAGATTTATTTGTTATTATGGAAATGGTGGGTAAATGTTTGTTCAGAATTTCTATGAAGATTTAAGGTTTGCAGATTTATTTGTTATTATGGAAATGGTGGGTAAATGTTTGTTCAGAATTTCTTTTATTTGTTATTATGGAAATGGTGGGTAAATGTTTGTTCAGAATTTCTATGAAGATTTAAGGTTTGCAGATTTATTTGTTATTATGGAAATGGTGGGTAAATGTTTGTTCAGAATTTCTATGAAGATTTAAGGTTTTAGGTTTAAGATTTAAGGTTGTTCAGAATTTCTATGAAGATTTAAGGTTTACAGATTTATTTGTTATTATGGAAATGGTTGTTTGTTCAGAATTTCTATGAAGATTTAAGGTTTTAGGTTTAAGATTTAAGGTTGTTCAGAATTTCTTTTGCAGATTTATTTGTTATTATGGAAATGGTGGGTAAATGTTTGTTCAGAATTTCTATGAAGATTTAAGGTTTTAGGTTTAAGATTTAAGGTTGTTCAGAATTTCTATGAAGATTTAAGGTTTGCAGATTTATTTGTTATTATGGAAATGGTGGGTAAATGTTTGTTCAGAATTTCTATGAAGATTTAAGGTTTTAGGTTTAAGATTTAAGGTTGTTCAGAATTTCTATTTTAAGGTTTGCAGATTTATTTGTTATTATGGAAATGGTGGGTAAATGTTTGTTCAGAATTTCTATGAAGATTTAAGGTTTTAGGTTTAAGATTTAAGGTTGTTCAGAATTTCTATGAAGATTTAAGGTTTGCAGATTTATTTGTTTTTATGGAAATGGTGGGTAAATGTTTGTTCAGAATTTCTATGAAGATTTAAGGTTTTAGGTTTAAGATTTAAGGTTGTTCAAATTTCTATGAAGATTTAAGGTTTGCAGATTTATTTGTTATTATGGAAATGGTGGGTAAATGTTTGTTCAGAATTTCTATGAAGATTTAAGGTTTTAGGTTTAAGATTTAAGGTTGTTCAGAATTTCTATGAAGATTTAAGGTTTGCAGATTTATTTGTTATTATGGAAATGGTGGGTGAATGTTTGTTCAGAATTTTTATAAATCCGGAATCGCTTTCCTGAAGATTTCTTCCTCGCTCTCTTTTTTTTTTTTTTCGAGCGTTTCTTTCTTTTTTATCGTTCCTTCTGTGTCTTAACTTTGACCTTTTTATAGTTCATTTTATTTGACCTTTTTATAGTTCAATTGATTTGAACTTTTTACTGTTTATTTTATTTGACCTTTTTATAGTTCATTTTATTTGACCTTTTTATAGTTCAATTGATTTGACCTTTTTATTGTTCATTTTATGTGACTTTTTATAGTTCAATTGATTTGACCCTTTTATAGTTGATTTTATTTGACCTTTTTATAGTTCAATTGATTTGACCTTTTTATAGTTCATTTTATTTGACCTTTTAATAGTTCATTTGATTTGACCTTTTTATTGTTCATTTGATTTGACCTTTTTATAGTTCATTTTATTTGACCTTCTTATAGTTCAATTGATTTGAACTTTTTATTGTTCATTTTATTTGACCATTTTATAGTTCATTTTATTTGACCTTTTTATTGTTCAATTGATTTGACCCTTTTATTTTATTTGACCATTTTATTGTTCATTTTATTTGACCTTTTTATAGTTCATTTTATTTGACCTTTTTATAGTTCATTTTATTTGACATTTTTATAGTTCAATTTATTTGACCTTTTTATAGTTCATTTTATTTGACCTTTTTACAGTTCTTTTTATTTGACCTTCTTATGGTTCATTTTATTATTTATTTCGTTTCGTCATTTATCTTAATTTTTGTTTATTTCTTTTACTCATTTCTTTCTTTCTTTCTTTCTTTCTTTCTTTCTAAAATTCGTTTCCTTCTTCTTACATTCTGTCTTTTGTTTATTTTTTTCTCTTTTTAGTTATTTTTCTTTCTTTCTTTAGTATTCAATTTACTTTCTTTCATCCGTTCCTGAGGTCAGTTTGTTATTTTTTTTATTTCAGTTGGTAATTCTTCTTTTCCATTATACATATCTTGTTGGATCAGTCTTTTATTCTTACTTTTGTTTAAATTTTCCATTTTCTCTCTTCTTCCTTGAGTTTGTTTTCTCTTTCTTTCTTTTATTTTGGTGGAGATTATTTGCTTAGTTGGTTTCAGAATTTTTCTTTCTTCATGTTTCATGTCTTTGTTTCTTTGTTTACTTCTTTCTTTCCTTCTTTTCCTCTTTCACTTAACTGTCATTCTTTCTCCGTTTCTGTCTCTTCATTTATTTTTCTTCCTTTTTTATTCGTCGTTTCCTTAGTCCGATCTTCGCTTAATTATTTATTCCTCTTCTTTCTCCAAATTCAAGTGTTTGTCAAATATCATTCTTTCTGTTTGTTTTTTTTATCTCCCTCCATTCGTTCCATTCATCTTTACCTTTTTCCTCATTTCTTTCTGTTTTCTTTAAGTTTTCATCCTTTCTTTCTTTACGAATTTCTTTCTGTTTCCTTTTTTTCTTTATTTTTCATCCGTTCCTTCTTTCTTTAATTCTTTCTTTATTTTTACTCCTTTCTTTTTTCTTTCATTGCAATTTCCTACTTTCCTTTTCCTTTTTCCTTTATCCCATTCTTTCTTTATTTTTCCTACTTCATTTCTTTAATTTTTTTTTCTTTCTTCTTTCTTTCGGTTTTTCTTCTTTCTTTAATTTCTCATTCTTTCCTAGGTTATTTCTTTATTTTTGTTCCTTTCTTTCTTTTTCTTTCTTTCTTTACATTTTCTGCTTTCTTTTTTTCTTTTTCGTTATTTCTTTATTTCTTTACTTTTTCCTCTTTTCCTTCTTTCTTTCTTTACAGTATCCTTCTTTCCTTTCTTTTTCTTGTTTTTACTCTTTTCTTTCTTTCTTTATTTCTTTTCCTTTTTCTTGCTGACTTTCTGTCATTTTTTCCTCCTTTCTTTCTTACTTTTTTCTTTTATTTTTCTCTTCTTACTTTTTATTTTAATTTTTCTTTGTTTCTTTATTTTTCGCTCTTTTCTTTCTTTCTTTCTTTCTTTCTTTCTTTCTTTCCTTCTTGTTGTTGTTGCTATTTCATTTAACCACTCTGTTTCTTTTCTGCGTAAAACCTTCCATTTCTTTCCTTTTTTTTTCTTAATATGTAGTACGTTTTAACAATTCATTGGCATTTGTCGTATCAACAAGTCATAGGTGCAGATACGAAATTAGATCTTTCTAAATTTCACTTTCCGCCATATTTAATTTATGGCCATTGGTTTTCTTTTGGGGATGACCGATCATGGTCTACTCAGACATATTTACCTCGGAGTTTCAGTCACGGGGAGCAGATAAAAGCGAACCGATACACAAATAGACACGGTGACTGGAAATTAAGATTAGAATTTGTTTTAGCATTTTCGGGAACGGTGAGATGCAAGAATTTCGTAAGACTAATTACTTATATGTGAAGTGGTTCAAGATAGGTAAATATAATTTAGAATTTATTTCCCCATCTTATTGAAGTACATATATTATACACATATTCATATATTCATACATTATACACATATTCAATTATTCATACAGGTACCTTTACAAGTGTCAGAAGGGGATAGTTTTTCCAAATAACAGAGAATATCTGAAGAATGTGACATTAAAATAGTAAACAACTTTCAGCATTAAGATTTAAGTGGAGGTCTTAATGCCAATACTGGCACGCGACGGCACGGTGGAGTAATGGATAGAGATTTGGACTGAGGAATCGGAGAGCCGAGTTCGAAATCCAGTCGAATCATTACATTCATTTACGTGCTAATACAATTGGGAAAGGTGTGAATCTTCTTTTTTCTCCCTCCAGCTATGGGCAAATAGCAGGACAGACTGGGTTCTATAGCCTTGGATGGCAACTGGTCTAGGAGAAGGAAAACTCTAAATTCAAAACCTGCGGAGGGTCGTTTGGGGACCTCGTGGTACGTAGTGCACCAGTTCTCTGTACTTGGCACTTCAAAAAGTGTTGATGGTCTTGCACGAAACCTTCACCACTATAATCAAATCTCGTGTTTGGGGGACAGCTTGTGTATTCCAAATTCCCATGAAACTCCAATATTAGAGCCGGCTCAACCCACCCCGGGTGAATGCCGTTACAAGAACAAGAAGAGCATGCGAAGGCCCAATTGGAAATGGTCTGTTTATTGTGTAACAGAATTCTCCAAAAATGCTAACCGATCACCCTTCTCCTTGTTCTTCTTTTTGATTTTCTTCTATATGCCGAATTCCATCAGGATATAGGCGATAAATGCTCTCCACAACTTTCTACATCGTGTGTCTCTTAAGTGTTTTTCCCCCTTTGCTCTCTATTCTCTCTTTTCTTTCTTTCTTTCTTTCTTTCTTTCTTTCTTTCTTTCTTTCTTAAACACTGTCTTCTCCGACATCAAATCAGGGGCCCTACAGGGTGATACACTTGAATTTTTTTTTGGTAAACTTCGTCATCTCAGTTTTAGTTTAACACTAAGACTCTCAAGGCTGACAGATATTAACTATGCAGATATCAGCTCTCACTGCAGACAGTTACCAATGCCACAGTTCTCCTACATCATCCAGAAAACACTGCCAGTGATGTTGGGCTCTATGTCAATGTCTGTAACTCTGATATCATAGCCTTCAGCCAACAAGGTTCAATACAAACTTTTTCAGGAGAATTAATAAAAGCTGTCGAATCTTTTACATACCTAGGAAGCGACATATATTCTATTGAAAAATACTTGAAAATTCGAAAGCCTGTGTCGGCTTTAATAAAATGTGTGATATCTGGAAAATCTGATAACCAGACAAACTCTTCAGTGAATCTTTCCAGCCACTATAGAGGCGATATTAATGTATGGTGCCACTGCTTGAACATTAACTAAAACTCTAGTGTATAAGCTTCATGCTACCTACACTCGGATGCTGAGAGTAATACTAAACATTATTTGAAAACAACATCCAATTAAATCACAGTTCTATGGATCCATCCTTGTTAATTCTACAGTCTTACGCGAACGTAGAATACGCATTTGAGGACACTGCTTGAGAGAAAAACAATAACTCGCGAACAATCTACTGCCCTGAACATTTTGGGCGTGGTGGACCGGTTATGTTAGGAAACAGAATGAAATCCTCATGATCTTCCGACCTTGATGCAGAACCGTGATGTTTGGCGTGATAGACTCATAGGTTGATCAAAAAGATAAAAAATATATATACATGTGCAAAAGTTCGAATATACAGAGGGGTACAAAATTAGATATGCAGTGACAAAAAACTAATCGTGCGCACAAAACGTATCGTATTAATTATACAAATATCAACGCTAATGTCTTCCAGTGATGTTCCAACATCCATTGGCGCTTCTTGTCCGTTAAATTAAATCATTAAATTATCTCGTTACCTGCAAACTATTTATTATTATTCTTTTATTTCCTTTGGTGTGTACAAATTTCATTCTGGGTCTCGCCCAGAGACCTAAGGTTAGAAATGGCACATGACATTTAACTAAAAAAACATTATTATTAATTAATATATATATATATTTGTCTACATTTCTGAGATGAGGTATTATGTACAGTATTTACATTAGTCGGACTATTGTCCTCATCTTTGTCGCTCCGAGCTTCTTCAGGTGGTTGGAATTTCGAACTGAACCCTTTATTTCGATCGCTGGGGTAGACTGTTCTAATTCCACGTGCCATGTTTGATGGATGTCAGTTATCAGTTATCTCCTGCGAATTTTCCCTCTGAAAGTTCTCCACTGCCTTAACCAGGAATTGAACTCACCTTCTTTGGGTCTGTCACCAACAGGATCTAACCAACGCCTTTATCCACTGTGCCATGTGTCCTTGAGGACATCTGGGTATGAACTTGAGTATTATAAACCTAATGTTTTCATATCATTTTTACCAGTGCTCATATTGCAATTTTGCTGTTATCATTGCATGTCTTTACCAGAGTTCATATTGCAACTTTGTTATCATTGCTTTTTCTCTATATATGTTATTACTGGTTCCCATATTGTATTTATTTATATGCTTGGTCGGCTCAGGAGATTTTTGTGGCCTAGCATATGTGCTGATTCCTGTTTACGAATTTTCCAATGGTGTTCCCTGTCTATATATCTCAACATGATCCCACAGGGGCGGTGATCTCCTTCTCTCTCCATATGTGGTCAGCCACGCCTGATTTTTTCTCCCGCGTTACAGCTTTTTGGTGTTCTTGAAGCCTTTTTGAGGGGCGGCCTGTCTCTCCTTAATATTCCTTTCCGCAGCTGCATGGGATAGCGTACACAATTCCGTCTTTAGTCATGTTCCTCTCTATGGGGGTCTCAAGAGATACCTGCGAAGTGTTGTCACGCTTTTGAAGGTTGTCCTGATGTTATATGGACCGAAGATCTTTTGTATTTTCTCTGATAACCCCTTCACATACGTACGTAGATGACACTTTCATACTCTGGCCAAATCAGGAAGAAGTCCAGGTTCTTCTGGACCATGTGAACTCAATAAGACCTTCGATACAGTTCTCAATGGAGAAAGAGAGTAACTCACTCCCATTCCTGGATGTACTAATATCTCGAACAGAGAATGGGTTCAAGACATCCGTATACCGTAAACCAACATTCACCGGACAGTACCTCAATTTCAACTCCCACCATCCATACAGCGTAAAGAAGGGATCGTCCGATGCTTACAACATCGAGCAAAAGTCATAAGTGGCGATCCAGAGACGTTAGATAAGGAATTGGTCAGTATAAGTAGTACCCTACAACGCAACAACTACCCTGGGTACATGGCAGCAGCCCCCAAAAAACTGGGATAGGCGGGTACAAGAGGAGGAGGAGGAGGAGGAGGACAACAACACTCAGAAAACAGTCTGTCTGCCTTATGTATGTATATATGTGTATATATATGTATATATGTGTATATATATATGTGTATATATATGTATATATATGTATAATGTATATATTTGTATATATATATATATGTATGTGTATATATATATATGTATATATATGTATGTATATATATGTATATATATGTATATATATATATATGTATATATATGTATATTTATATATATGTATATATATACACAATATACATATATACATATATATATATATATATATAAATATATATATATATATATATAACATAGATAATCACTTCATAACATGGGCTGTCAGAAATCCCTTCAATGAGTCTACTGGAATCTTTTCCAACCAATCCATGGGCTCCAACTTTTTGAGATTTCTTGTAAATTTGTTAGATTTTTGAAGATCTTCAAAGAATCATTGCAGTCTGCAGGGACTGCAATATCAATAAGGAGACACTTATTTTGTTGTTATTATCATTGTTGTTATTATTTTTATTACATATTGAAAATAAACATTATAATAACAACATTATGAAAGTAAAAATATAAAAATTAACTGGATTCTAGTATTACATAAATCCTATAATCTGCTATAATCCAATTATAATACAAAATGTCTACCAACCTTTGCAAATAATCATCTATCATTCGATTCCTTCGTCTTCCTGATCTTTTGAACAAGAATAGAACTCTATCCCTTTTCTCTTGTTTAGAATTGTTTCCACTTCCTTCTAAAGACTACTTCAATTCTATATTTCTAACGTCTTCGTTTGAACTCGGAAATTTTATTCACTAATTACTTATTTATTTTTCTACTTATTAGTAGAAAATACGTTCGTTTTTCCTCCCGTTCTCTCTCTTTCCCGGTCTATTGAACAGGATTAGAATTTTATTCCTTTTTCCATGTTTAGGATTGTGTTTCATGTTACCTCTGAAGACTTTCATTTTCGTTCAATCCCTTGCGTCTTTAAGGAATTATTTTCTTTATTTGTGGTGAATTAATTTTAAAATATAAATAAATAAACATATAAACAAAAGAATAGACCAGACGGAAAACTTTTATGCCAACCCATTTCGTTACTTGCGGGAATTTATGTAGGCAAATGCAGGCATTTTATGCCCCGTAGTATTGTGGAGAAAAATAGCGTTATGTTTTCAAATTTTGAAATAGAGACCGCTCTAATATATTCTACAAATATAGTTTACCTTCCTACTGTAGATTTTCTAATACAGTAAGTATTTTAGAATATCTTAGAGCTTTCTCCTGTCCAAGGTTTGAAAACTTAATTTTATTTTTCTCCACAAAATAAATACAGATTAAAAAAATTATATTTTTACACATGCCTCGACAGCTTTCTTGCAGTTACGAAACGTGTTGGTATAAAAGGTATCCTTTTGTCTTTTCTTTTATTTATACATGCCTACATACATATATATATGGGTTTGTGTCTGTGTGCATGAGTGTGTGTGAGGGTTACAGGTAATCCTCAATCATTGCTGAATAAATTTATATGTCCATTAATAAAATACCGACATTATGAAATGAGATTTCAACTATTATCATAAATTTAATTCAGCTTTTTTATAAGGATATAATAACTCTTCTTTTATTCTAAATAACTAATTGGAATTTCTAGGATTAATTTGGTTACGACTTTTCGTTGAATATCTGCGTGAGAGTAAAACTGAAGGAGGCACGGAAGTGGATAGCGGTTCGGATTGAGAAATTTTAGAGCAGAGTTCGATTTCCAGTCGAGTTCATTGCATTCATTTCCGTTCTAATACCATTAGGAAAGTTATGAATCCATCTCTTCTCTCTCCCATCCCAAGCTGTGGGAAAATAGCAGGACAGACTGTGTTCTATATACTTGGGTTACACACAGTGTAGGAGAAGGTCAACACTCGTGTATGGACTGAGGGTGACCCACACTTTATTTCGTGGTCTTCAGTCAAGTGTTTCGAGAGATGTGTGCCGACAAGCTATCTGAAAGTCCACGGGAAGGATCTTTAGGAAGAATGAACCGAGTCTGCCCTAAGGTTTCTTCGGCAATGGAAGTACATGATGATTAAGCAAAATGGAAGAAGATGCCAATGTGAGGGCTATGCATGCAGTAGTAATTCTTGGAGAGAACAAGTCGAACCATATGAACAATATGTAAAAAGAAGGCACAACTCATATATCTATGAGATCCGTCTTTCATAAATTTAAAAAGTATTCAATCTAAGAACCTATTATTTCATTTATTTTCTTTATTTCAGTTATGTAAAAACGTGTTAAAATACCAATTTTATAGATTTCCTATATAATTATAGAATATAAGTATATAGATAATACTATAATTATATAATGGATTCACTTTCCCGCAGGCTTCACTGTGCCTTTTCTAGAAATACTTTCATTGATCTGATGAACTTTCCTTTGTGCTACTAAGGGTTTACTGTCAAGACGCAACGTCACACCGGAAGTGAAATAGAAGGAAAAGATTTTAGAGGGAAGCGGAAACCCACTTCTAAACAGGTGGCATAAGCATTTACACCTGTTCAAAAAAGAAAGAAGGGAGTTATGTGAAATGGACGATAGACAAACTTATTTCCTCTTTTTCCTTTTGAGAAAATGAAAAGTTAAGAAATAATATATAAATATTCAGTGATTTCGACTGAGACGTTAGAAGTATAGAGTTGACGGAATCGCAAATGCAACACTACATAGGAAATAAGGGGAAACAGATATCAAATTCGGCAGAACATGTTCTATGTAAAAATAAAAACGATAGAATAGGCTTTGGCTTGAGATGCTGTGTCTGTGGGAAACGCGTGGTATGTTGGAAAATAATTTATTACTTATAATCAGCATAAAGTTTTTGAACACCGTCTATGCTGGAAAAAACAGGATTGCTCAGTTCTATCCCAGATATAAGCACAATAATCCAATTTGGCTCCGATTATAGAGAAATCATATCCTTGTCAGGCTCCTGTTTCTTGTTTTGTTTGTGTAAAGAACATCAAGGGTTAATTCAGTATATTATCTGGAGAGGTAAATGTAATTTCTTTTCAAAGAAAAATACAAAGTCTGTCTATATTTCTGAGATGAGGTATTATGTACATTATTTACATTATTCGGACTATTGTCACCAAATTTATTACAACGTTCGGCCTTCTTCAGGTGAACTGAACCCTTTATTTCGCTCACTGGGGTAGACTGTTCTAGTTTCTACGTGCCATGTTTTATGGATGTCAGTTATCAATTATCTCCTGCTAATTTCCCTCTGAAATTTCTCCACTATTGAACTCACAGTCTTTGGGTCCTACCACTGGATCTAACCAACGCCTTTATTCACTGTACTATGTGTCCTTGAGAACACATGCGTATGAATTTCTGGGTATTATAAACCTAATGTCTTCAGCAACCATTTTTACCAGTGTTCATATTGCACTTTTGCTGTTATCATTGCATGTTTTTACCAGAACTCATATTGCAACTTTGTTGTTATCATTTCTTTTCTCCGGCACTCCTTATTACTGGTTGTATTTATTTCTATACTTAGTCGGCTCAGGCGATTTTGGGGGCCTAGCATATGTGCTGATTCCTTAAGTTTACGAATTTTCCAATAGTGTTCCTTTTCTATGATTCAACATGATCCCATTGAGGGTGGTGATCTTTCTTCTCTCTCCATATGTGGTCAGCCAAAAATTTTTCTACTTCCCCTCGTGTTACCACCCCATAGAGGAGAACATGACTAAAGACTGTGTGTACGCTATCCCTGCAGCTGCGGAAAAAAATATAAAAGAGAGACAGGTCGCCCCCTCAAGGTAAGGTTTCAAGAACACCAGAAAGCTGTAACACGAGGGGAAGTAGAAAAAATCAAAGAGTGTGAGTTCAATACCCGGTTAAGGCAGTGGAGAACATTCAGAGGGAAATTAGCAGGAGATAACTGATAACTGACACCCATCAAACATGACACGTGGAACTAGAACACTCTACCTCAGTGAGCGAAATAAAGGGTTCATTTCGAAATTCCAACCACCTGAAGAAGGCCGGAGCGTACAACAGCCGAAACGTTGTGATAGATATGGCGACAAGGATGAGGACAATAGTCCGAATAATGTAAATAAGAAAAATACAAGTTTTTTTTGGGTTTTTTTATCGAATACCTTAATTTTACTTAGAAAACTTAGCTATAACACTTTCTATAATTCTCCTCCTCACATCGATCAGTTTTATAATCATAAACATATTTTATTTATTGATCGAGTGTTAAAAAAATGGCCGCTTTTTTCTAGCTCAATTTTCAGTCTCTTTCAAATTATATATATATATCGCCATTTTGAATGGCTTAAAGGACGCAGATCTTTCTTTCTTGGGAGAATGAAATAACACAATTAACTTTCATATAAGAATTTTAAGGAAATTTGACAGATTCACTTCAATCTCAACCTTTTAAAATAATTTCTTGGGTGTAGGGCTTCCTAAGATCTCACAATCTTTGCAATTCATGGGGAGGAGTGGGTCATTATTCTACTATGTTTGTCCATTACGTGTTGGTAGGTCTTAAAGCACATGCTATTCCCAAGCGGTAACCCATCTAGTTATTGACCAGGCTCAAAGATACTTAACTTCTGTGATCGGGCGAGTATCAGTGTTTCAAACTGATATAGACGTAAGCGCCAACTGAATAATCTCACTTCATTGGATACTTCGCCTTTTTATTATTTCAATATTTATATATAACATACGGTAGGCTGACCGAAATATTCTAGTCGTAAACAAATGCCGTCAGCTGGCGCACGAAGGCTCTTTTCGAGCTTCAGATCCCGATATACATTTCACATGGTATGTCGACTGATGCATGCGAAACGATTCCATGGAGATGTACAACAAACATGTTCCCGTACCATAAATAGACATAATTTATATCTATATCAGAAGGTTCGCTCATGTACGATTGCATGTTGACAATGTAAAAAAAACACATGGGGAGGAGGTGAGATGTCAGTATGTGAAAATGATCAACAACTGTATTGTCCCTATATTTTTCTCGGATCGAACAAAGAAGAAAGAGCGGTTGATACCTATTTTTCCCTGACTCTTACGCGCACAATCTATCTATCTATCTATCTATCTATCTATCTATCTATCTATCTATCTATCTGTCTATATATATATATATATATATATATATATATATATATATATATATATATACACACACACGCACGAGCGCATATATATATATATATATATATATATATATATATATATATATATATATATGAATTTTTAAAAGTGGTAGCTATCTATTTAACTCTTTCTCACGCAAAATATATCGTTCACTATATATCTATCTATCTATCTATCTATCTATCTATCTATATATATATATATATATAGAGAGAGAGAGAGATAGAATAATATATGTCTGCATATATATATATATATATATATATATATATATATATATATATATATATATATATATATATATATAAATATAGAAAAATGTGTGATTATATATTCATCTCTTTCACACCAAACACACTGTCTCGTGCTTACTATATTTCTCTCTCTGTCTCTCTCTCTCCACACACACACATATACACACTCACACATGAACACTCACACACACACACACACACATACATATATATATATATATATATATATATATATATATATACCATTAATTTACAAGAATCCTTAACAGAAAGCACTGGACGGCCGTTTCGTCCTAATTTTGGATCAGCAGTGCGCATCCACTACCAACAATCGGACATGGACCATTCCTATATGACGCAAGTGTCCTTCCCACTGGGCCAACGAATCTCGCTGACGGAGAGGTAATAAACCAGATTCCGTCTTGTAACTCATACGAGTCTTCTTATGCCAATTGACTGAACCCCCAATGAGTCACGACATCTATCCCCAAGTCGCTCCATTCGGAGCATTGGAAGCCAATTTAAGCAGTGATATATATAATGAAATTAGAAACGGCGTTATATTTTGTGGAGGATTCTTCTAGACTCGCTGAATTAATTATGATTATTCGAATCCCCTTATATATATATATATATATATATATATATATATATATATATATGTGTGTGTGTGTGTGTGTGTGTGTGTGTGTGTGTGTGTGTGTGTAGAGAGAGAGAGAGAGAGAGAGAGAGAGAGGGTGTGTGTGTGTGTGTGTGTGTGTGTGTGTGGAAGCATTGTGAAGTAATGGATAACTCCTCGGATTGAGGAAACAGAGAATCAAACCTTTACCTTGTTTCCATTCACTTACATGTAAATACACTTGAGAAAGTTATGAATCCATCACTTCTCCCCTATAATGGGAGGGGGGAATAGCAGGATAGACTCGTTCCTATAGCATTTACTGGCACCTGTATAGCAGAAAGACAGCTCTGTATTCAATAACCCAAATATTGGTTAAAAAATTAAAAATGACGTAACTGACCAAGCCTACATCTACACCCCTGAAAACATTGTGAACCAGGGTTTTTCAACAATAGAGGGAAGGCTCGAATATATATATATATATATATATATATATATATATATATATATATATATATATATATATATATATATTTCTGATTATATCCGAAAAGACGATAATTCCTTAAAGTTACCTACTTTACGATCCTGATACGAAAATTAAGCATCCATTGGCTTCAAGAGACGTTAACGATTCATTTACATTCTTCCAGACAGAGCTTTGTAATTTAATTCAATTTAATTCAAATAATTATATTGAAGTTTTCGCATCTTGTTTTAAAATATGAGAACTCTTATGTAGCGATGGAATCATATTTTATATATATATATATATATATATATATATATATATATATATATATATATATATATATATATATATATATATATATAGGGAGCAATCCTTTGTTTATGCATTTTCAATGATGATTCAATTTTCCAGTTTATTGAGTGTGTGCTTCATGTGTATGTTTTAGTGTGTTGTAGAGATGTTTTTAATACGGTTAGAACATTGTGGTCTTTTTCGTAGTTAATATTTTTAGAGTTTTTTTTTTCTTTTTTAATTATTAAAGCTTCCATTATTTTTCATCTTTTTTCACCGGTGGATATTTATGTTTTCTATTAGTATGTTTCTAATGGAGTCTGGTAAGTTTGTGTGCGTGTTTAAATTGGTTTTAATGGGGCTATGATCAGATAAGTGTAACGTAAGGCGTCTGGATATGCATTATTACTTACTTTAGGGAGAAATAGTCTAATTTGCTGGTCCATAAAGTGGGTAGGGAAGCTGTTGTTGATTAGTGTTTGTTTTACATTATTAAATTCTTTGAGGAAGAGTGGTCTAGTGGATGAATTCTGCTGTGCTCTTTTTAGGAAGTTTTTTATTACTGCTATTTTGTACATCAGTGGGCATTAGTGTTAAAGTTAAAACGATTATAAATAATCAAATAAATAATGGAAGCTTTAATAATAAAAACGAAAAATAACACTAAACTTAATAACACTAAACACTTCGAACACAATATGCTAACTCTCTTCTGAAATTATAAACATCTCTACAACTCACTAAAACATGTACATAATGCACACACTCAATTAAGCTGAAAAAGTGAATCATCCTTGAAAATGGCTAAAGGCAAAGCAGAAAGTGCTCGGTACTATAAAACATTTTGACAATTTTAAACACTCTTTTGTCCAGAAAAGAAAGCTCTTGTTCGAACACAAGAAAAATTAAATAAAAAGCTTATATATATATATATATATATATATATATATATATATATATATATATATATATATATATATGTATGTATTTAAATAAAAAGAAAGAACAGTATATATATATATATATATATATATATATATATATATATATATAGTTTATGCAAAACTACGTAATCCGTATGGGTAAACCCAAGGAGGATGATATCCGAAGAGCTCAATGTAAATTCAGAGCAAAAATGTTTGAATAAAAGACAGACCACTTTTAGGTTCCATGTAATAAATTATTTCACCACAGCCCTTTTAAAGGGCTCTGGATCATCAGACTTTACTTCCAAATGTTGAAATGAAAAATGAAAAGAAATTTACACATTTTTAACGGGCCTTATGTAAATTAACGAAGTGAGGAAGTGAGGGGGGAGAGAAGACATGAGTGAGTTAGATGTACCATTTCATTTCTTTATCCCTAACCCCACTTGGTGTGGGCCAGACAAATGCTTAACTTAACTTATGTTGTTTTTAGATACGGATGGGTAAGTGGTGAAAAGGAAAGCCAACATAAAAGGAAGAAGATACAGTAAAACAATCCTGATGAGAGAAGGTTGATATATATATATATATATATATATATATATATATATATATATATATATATATGTGTGTGTGTGTGTTTGTGTGTGTATATAGTTAAATTCCCAGATGAATTCTGTGGACAAGACAGGTTGGTATCAAATGACAATTGGAAAAAAAATCTTACATTTTGCCGACGCGTTTCGTCTTCCGACTTTTCAAGGCAAAAATGAAATTGAAATATAACAACAAAAACATTTCGATTTCATTTTTGCCTTGAAAAGTCGGAAGACGAAACGCGTCGGCAAAAAAAGATTTTTTTCCAATTGTCATTTGATATATATATATATATATATATATATATATATATATATATATATTATTTAGTTTTTACAATGTCTTCCCTATGATTATTATCAATGCAATTATATAAGACATAGGGTATTATAATAATTTTCTTACAAGGAAAAATCTTGTATTCATTGACTCTTTCTGTAAAAACATTTTTTGAAAGAAATAGGCTTCTGTAGTTTAGTATTATCTCTATTTCTTGTATTAAATGGGAGCGTCCCTTCCTAAGCTTTGGCTTGAAATAGTATGGAACATCAACATCTTGATTATTTCATTAGTTTCCGGTCTAGTTATTTGACCTATCGTTTTCAGTTTTTGCTGTTGTTTAAAGCTACCAAATAATGTGCGTTAGTAAAGGTATTTATTTACGATTGTGTAGCGGCATAAACTTCAAATGTGACGAAGAGACCTGGAATACTAAGAGACCCGGAATACTAAGAGACTGGAATACTAAGAGACTGGAATACTATGCTCAAAACATGTGAGCAAGAACAATATTCTAAAAGGACGCCCCTAAAGTCTGGACACATAGGTAAAAATGTATATTTTGAAGAATTTACAATTTTGATAACAATTTCTTGAATTGGAATATTAACAAATAATATATTCAATATGATTTGCATCATTTGCGATGCAAATATTGATACTCTTTGCAAGAACTCGATACAGTTACTCCACATTGCCGTCAATTTTAACGCATTCACTCTTTATGCGTTCAATCAACTGTTTTGCATCTGTGGTTTTCATTGAGTACACGTTATCTTGTAAGCATACCCCAGATAAATCAATCAGTTCTTTTTTTTTCTTTCGACAAAACAACGTTTAATTTGTGAAGGTAAAGAAATGATATTTCCTATGTGTCTAAACTTTAGTGATCCCCTGTACAGAAAATGGATAACAAAAAGGCGTTTATACTTAATATCGGGGAAAGACAGTTGAAATTTCTATAGCACGTAATTAGAAATGAGGGTTTGGGGGACTTTCATTAAGATTAAAGCTAAGAGGGACAGAGGGGAACAAAGTATGA